CACAACTACAAATCTAGAAAGAGAGAAACATAGGGGGAGAGTGAAGTTGATTTACAATGCAGGAAATTGCTAAAGGTCTTAATAACAGTGTTAGGAAAGGAAGAAGCACTGTCAACGAAAGTAAGGAAGAATGGAGATAAAGCCTAAATGTTTGCTCACAGTAACTGGATTTGAAGGTTTAACATACCAGGCATAGCCATGGCTTAACAAGTCAGCAAAAGAAAGGCAATTAGTTTAGCTGAGTAATCCAAACTAAACCTACACTTTAAATCTACTAGCATGGAGCTAGAAAATGAAGGCAACACACACTCAGCTAGTCAACGCATGAAACACTCGCACTAAGGAGTCAAAACAGTTCAGCAGCTGACAACTCTTGCCACCCCTAAAATATATGCCTTCCATTAGATGGCAGTGTGAACTCAGATTTAAATCATCTGAAGAGGGTTAGCCCACACATAGGAAGATCCAGGTCTATAAACTGAGCGGTCAGATATAAAATTAACAGGAGTGTTTGTAACACATCAGCATTCACTTTCAAGTATGAGAACGACCTGCAGGAATGACCTGTGAGCGAGCAAAACAACACAAGTCATTTTGAGGGAAATTCTAATCGCCCCACCCAGAGTGCGGGCCGGCTACAGCTGAGCTGCTGTCTGCATTGAGGAGCACACGTTTCCTGATTTGGAGAGAGAAAGAGGCAAGGCAGGGAGCTGACAGTCAAAGCAGGCTTACGTAGTTCTGTCGAGGATGTATATATTACATTCACTTCTTTTAGCTTCAAGTTTTAGCACCTTTGTTTTCACTTTGCTGTATTAAATATTATGAGCCTGTTTTTGGTTGTTTGTGTGCTGCTGTTGTTTTCTTTTTTTGGTCTGAAACAGTTTCTGGACTTAGGCACTATATCACAGCCCACAAATCTGTTTTTATAAAATTTCTAAAAGGTAAATTTATCCAAGGCTCTTCTCCTCTACACTCATACTAAGCATTACTTTGCCACCTTTCCTTGTTTTCTAAATGCAGCGAGAAAATTGGTCAGCTTTTCTTTCTATTGGAGAGCTAAACTGATGAGAAGAAACTCCAACTTGCATCGCCCATAAAACCCACGTGGAAACAAAACAAGCTTGAGTGGCGCATCCATTGACTACTCCAGATAGCCATTCCCAGGCAATAATTCCACCAAAAAAGTTGTACATCATATAAAAATAGGTTCAAAGCTCCACTTCTATGTCCTCACTCTGATGTATGTACTACCTCCAAAAACATTATTTATAAATATTCTTATGTTAGGCAAATATTACTTTTAAGATATAAAACCTAGCGAAGACTTTTACTCAATATGAATCTGTTTTTACCTTCTTTTTCAGTTTAAATAGTTTGTCTCCATTACAATTTAAGCTGTGCAAAGAACACTTCTATTTGTGACATTAGGTATAATAAATCAGAAATACAGACTTTTTATAAGAAAATCCTAGTCTCAGTTCAAAGTGAAGTTATTTTTGTCTGAGCAATTAGTAACACTTTTATAAGTATCAAGGCACCAGGTGTGCAAAACATTAGTTAAAAATTTAGTAATATGAAGGATGTTAGCAGTCGAAGGAGGCCAATAAATGCCAGTAGTTAAACTTGTGGACTGAAAGACGACAGCATGCATGCTGGGTACATCAATAAAATATTTATTAAACTCGGACTCACACCGAAGAACCACAAGAAAACTACACTGTTACTCTCACTTGCTTTCCATATTCAGATGAACACCACCACACCACAACACCAGGACCCCTCATTGTTCCACACTGTACATCTGTCAGCTGAAGAGAATTTCCATAAACATTCATTGCAATTACCAGGAGCTGATTCATCTTCCAAAGGCGACCTTACTACTTTAATCTGATAATTCATCAGGACCACAGGAGAGTATTTTATAACAAGTAGTCCTAATTCCTCAAACCTTCTCATTTAATATATTTCAACAAGCAAATAATGTTAAAACTCTGTTATTCCTTCTCCAATGACATTTTTTTAAAAATTAAAAATAGGTCCTCTCCAGCCTTTTAATTATAAAAGAAATCCCCAAATGACATTAATAAACAGAAATAAAAGACAGATACTAAGGAAACACTCTTAGGGACTCTAACCTGAATGTAATACCATTCTCTATGGAGACCAAAGCTTCTACATAAAAAATATTAAGTGAATCAGGGAAATAAAACCTAAACCAATATTTTAACATTTTATATTTAACACTTTAACATTTAATATTTTCGCCTTTCCCTTTCCTTTTTTCTCTTTTTTTAAAATAAGTCTTCTCTATCTGAGATTAAAGAATTCAATAAAATTAATGCAGTTTGCCTGACAGTATCTTTAAAAAAATTAAAAGGAACCTGGAAAAGCATTTTTCTGGCCAAAAACATTCTCTTTTCTTGTTTCTATACCTATTCCTACTTTCACCTTTCATTTTCTTGCTTCTTAGTATCTCTATCCTCTCTTTCTTTTGACCAGAAAAATTGCAAAAGACTTTAAATGGGCAAAAAGATGACGGGACAGCCTGTCAGGGCGTGGAGGGCCTCCCAGGGCTCTTGGATTCTGCGGGGATCTGTGCCTTTCTTCGTCTCCACTGTCCAATCTGTTACAGAAACAGAACTACGTGTGTGCAGGACTGATGGTGGATCCCTGGCCATACAAATACCTGTCGGGTGAAGATGCACCTGATTACCACAGCTGAAGTGGCCAATTCTGCATCTTTTAGCATTTCTCATTGCCTATTACATCTGTCCTCTGGAATTCCCTTTGAACTGGTTTTAACATTTGATTGGTTTCCCCATTAATTAATGAATTAAATAAAAGCTCTGACATGTTCATTTTATATTTGCCTAAGAGTCATGATTTTACCTTTTCAAAACTATCCTTTAAATATCCCAGGGCTGAACAAATTATTACTGAAACTTAAGGAACAGCTGGAAAGAAATATTATTGTTGATTTTATCAGCCTTGAAGCACTTCTTGAATTAATGTACTTAATAACTATTTTAAGATTTTAACACTAGTACTCTGAAATCTTAATAGTCATTAAAAGAGATTCTTTTCCTAAGTGTCGGAGCAACGAATAGTACATATGCAAAAAGAGCAAAGAACCCTAGTGATAACGGCCAACATCTACAGCACTTGCGACCAGCGAGACACTATTCTAACGCACTGTTCTCAGCGCGTCACCGAGTCCTCACAACCTCACTGTGACACGGCACTCCATGCTGCACCTCAGGAAACTGAGGCAAAGGGAACTCAGATAACTCTCTCAAAGTCACACAGCCAGTAAGTGGTAGAGCTCTGATTCAAACTGCGAGAGTTTGGCTCCAGACTAAATTAGACCACCTCTCAGAGAAGAAAGAAAGGAAAATTTTTAAAGAGCCAAGCACTTTCAGTGCTATTATTCCTGGCTGCTGTTAACAACGTTACAAAAGGATTATCGGCAAAGGTACTAAGGAAAACTGCTTTTACAGAGAGTTGAAGCCAAACCTTTTTGTGGGTAGCAGCAATAAACAGGAATGATAAAGACAATCGCAAGATGAGAGGACATGAGAAGGTAAAGCGACTAAATAAGGGGTGGGTCATACACCAAAGTAAAAATTAAGGAAATCCATTTTATGATAGTAGACATCCAATTGTCTTGTCCAAGGCTCAAACAAAATTTGTCCAATATCCCTACACTCCTGTGCCCACGTACAAAATAGGTATCTTCCTTAGGAAAGAGCGATCGAAAGGGCCCTCCTGCTCTGCACTTCCGTTGTAAACGGCTTTGGAAAGAAGGTGGCTTTAGAGAGGACTGCAGCAGGCCGGCCGCTAGAACAGTTCACTCTCAACTGCGAAGTCTATTCATGCTTAACACTGGGCTCAAATAAATATCTAGCAATTACCATGCTTTTCTAGACTTTCTTGATCCTTAAACTCTTAATTTACACAGGACTGAAATCCTCAAAACAGCTCCAGAAAGACCCATACTGCCAAAAAGTTTCAAAGACATGACCGAGGACAGTCCAGGCTCACTGAAAGCTGCTGGAAAGCTCCAGGACCTTTTCAACACATGACAACTTCCCAAGACAAACGCTCCTCCCTCTCAGCCGGGGGTAAACTCTAGTAGGTGACAAGGAAGCTTACTTATCTGAACTACTAATGGTCTTCAAGTGTAGGCTTGACAGCTAAATACATAAAGATTAGTGGAGAACTTTCTCCATCCCTAGAAAAACCCAAAACAAAGCTCCGGTCAAAGTATTAACAGAACTAATTTGTCACCTTCAGTAAGTGCTTATGGAGACTCATTCATTATATAACTTCATAAGCAGAATCACTAAGGTCAGAAAATAAATTAGACATAATTAATGTGTTAGATGAATTGTTTAAGTAAGATGTAAGGTTAAAGGTACTAATTATAAAAGTTACTAAAACATTATACTAGGCAGTGAGAAAAGAAAATTCTAGGTTTGGTTAAAGACATCTTGAAAGATATTATTTACCTACCACAATTCTGGTAAAATAAATAAGTCTGGAGTAAGAATCAATTATAGGTCGGGGTTACAAACAAAAGGAGAGACTACACTGGATCTAATTATTCTAAAACATTTCCCAAAAATATCAAGCAAACGGAAAATTCTACTTTGATTTCAAGTACCATCTAAAAATTTAAACTTACCAACTCCAAATAACGTATTTATTCTCATATCACTAAAAGTACTAGTTACTAAAAATTTCAAGACACTTTTCTTCTTCACCAGGTGTAAACTAAGAGGACTAAAGAGGTAAGCATTTTTTGCCAAACGTTTTAACTAATTGGAAAGTTCACTCCCGGCAAAGCCGACCGGGCTTTGGAAACAACACTTGTCTCTCAACAATTGAGTCTTCAATTATGCTTCCCTGGATGTTTCTGGAGTTTGACTCTCTTCACTCTAAATATATAAAACTTTCCAGCAACTAAAAATAAAGAAAACTGAAGGCAAGACAGTACTCACTTTTCAATCTCAATGCCGAGGGGGTTAGAAGGACGTAGGGACAAGGGAGGAATTCCTTTATTCCTGTCAGTACGCATGTCATAATAATTCATTTCATCAACCCACACAGCAGACTGATCCAGAATACCTACCCAAATGAGAAGAACATCCTTAGTAAGACAGAGACTCCCCCACGACTTTCTAAGTCTCGCCAAACTCCTTTACTTTTTAAAGACCTAATATGAAATGCACACTAAGGCAATTTTTAAGAGATTTGAGGGCACAAAAGCTGAGTTTTATTTTGTTTTTTTAATGGCTGGTGGCTTGATTAAAAACACTAAGAATCTATAAAAAGGCAAGAACAACACTTCTTGGTTCACTTTCATTGTACATTATTCAAGACAGAAGACAAATTAAGCCTCTGAGAAAACGTTCCGCTAAAACAAATGTATTTTACAAATAATAAACAGTACAATTAGTTTGGTAAATTCAACAAAATATATATATTTTATATAGTTATATAAAGAAATCCTTATATAAAGAAATCAATCCTTCTATAAAGGAATCAGACAACTTCCAAGGAATGCATGGCTTATGCAAACTAGGATATTCAAAAGAACGACTGGGAGGATCCTGTGAACAACACAATCTCTGAAACAGTACCCTCTTTTACGGGACCAAGCTCTTTGCCATCTACCTTGGCACAGGAAGACCACTTACCACCTCCAGACATGGGCTGCGCAGAAATGGGCAAAGCACCAGCACACAGAGAGGAGGGGTTGGGAAGCCTTCACTGAAGTATTTGATCCCAGGCACCTTCTAGCTGTGGGACCCTTTGTGAACCCACTAATTCCACCAGCACCCTCAGTTCCGCCAGGATGCAACAGGAGACTCTGCCAGAGGAGACGCTCAAGTGCACATCCTCCAGAGCTCAGTTCCATAAGCCTTCATTGAGCCCACACTGTGCTGCATCCTCTTTCAGGGCTTTCAAATAAGTTTTCTCTATCTACTGTATAAACGTGATGGAAGATGATGCTGGATTCTGTCAAAATGTCTTAAATTTAATTTAAGCTAAATTATTTACTTTTCTATATAGGAGAAAAGTACAGCCTGGGTTTAGTTATGCCTGTCATATTCCTACATCATACAAACATTTATCAAGTATTGACCTTGAGCAAGAAATGACAGGACCACAAAGATGAACCTGACATTTTAGTAGGGGAGGTGGCCATGCACAGAAATAGCTACGAAAATAATAATTAAAAATTATTAACTTATGGAGCACTTACTTTGTGTGAGCACTTCACATGCATGTCCTAACGCATTTACCCCTGTGGGGTGTGTAACACTATTATTCCACTTTTACCCACGAAGAAACTAAGCACCGAAGTACCACCGCTAGGAGTGCTGGAGCACAGATCAGCATCCAGAGTCGGGCTCCTCAGCCCAACTTCTTAACTATGCCTAATATGGAGGCAAGTGTTAAGTGCATAAAAAAGCAACACACAAAGTGCTATGGGGTACAAAGAGCGGTTCTTTCTAGTTTGGAGGGCTAAAGGTACACCAGACTAGCAACACTGCACACAGGCCTCAAGGGATGGGGAAAACAAAGAAAAAGAGAGCATTATTTACATAATATTGCTGTTAATTTGGCCAAATTGGGAGGATGTGTCACCTTAAATCGTAACTGTATAAAAGAAAGAAATGCAATTATTGTATTCAAGATCAAGGAACTAAAATTGGCATATCCAAATGTTAAATGAGCAGACTTTGTAAAGAATTCAGAGTGACAGTTCTCTCCTGATCATCACCCTTAGTTTCACAGACTGTGATCAGGAAACTGCCTTTTGAACAGTAATGTAGATTTAACCAATATCCTATTCCTGTCCAAATAAACATGAACTGACTCTAAGTTAATGAGATACGAGAGGAGGTAAATTTTATACTAATCTATCAGCTTTAAATTTTAAAAGACAAACTATTTTTATTTTCTTCTTTAGAATAAAGTCATGAAAGACGATACCTATTTTTTCAGGTTTGAGGAGCTTGAAAGAGACTGTTGAGGTTCCTTTGCCACCTGACTTGGTTGTGACAATAATGTCTCCTTTGTCATTTTTGGCTTGTCCCACTCGACATACTATTTTACTTGGTGACATCCATTCTGCCGTCAGGAGGCAATTATGTCCACAAATTGTCAAACCTGCAAATAAAAGCATGCATGTAACAAAGTTCAAAAGAACAATGAGAAGGGGGGGCGCCCAGCCCCGTGGCCTAGCAGTTAAGTTTGGCACCCTCCACTGCAGCGTCCTGGGTTCAGCTCCCGGGCACAGCCCTACACCATTCATTGGCAGCCAGGCTGAGGCAGCGACCCACATACAAAATAGAGAAGACTGACACAGCTGTTAGCTCAGGTGAATCTTCCTAGGCGGGGTGGGAGGAGGGACACAAAGCAATCATACGACTTAGACATGTCTATTACATGAAAAGACAATTCTTCTCCTGTTAGTAATACCAGGCCGTTTTAATGAACTGAAAAATAAATCTAGAAATAACATTTCCTTGTTCAGTAGTTTGTTATTTCTATTACGGAGTACACCCAATATTATTTGCAAATATACTGCTGTCTCTATAGATTTTTATCTATTCTGTTTTTTCTCTAATATTTAAGACTTCTTTTAGATTATATTTAAGTTTCTTCAAACATCAATGGGATCAGAAAATGATGACCATAATAATTATGTGTAGGCATTCCAGATTACTTAGACTATGAGAATCTTACATTGCTCTCATAGGTGTTAGAAGGGGAATTACTGCTATTATTAAAAGTGTAAGTTATTGATATCAGATTCTGAAGTATATTAATAAATGTATATATCACTCCCTAAAAATATATTCATCCATCTTCCTGAAAATAATCAGCAAGTACTTTTACTAGTGTTCAATCATACGTGGTATTACAGAATGAACTAAATTAGATGCTTTATGCTTTATTTTCAGCATAGCCTGGAGTCTGGTAAATGTTCTCAGCATTACTGGATGACTATTACATTTTTCTATCTGCATATCAGTCCTAGAATGGCAGTTCATGCTGCCCTAGGGTTCCCTAATGATACTGTCACTATACTACGTTCTGCTCTCATAGAAAACTGCGACGTCAGCTCCCAAAAGGTCAACTCCTGCCTGGCACCTCCGGCTCAATGCCATGTAAATCACAATGTAGGCAGGAAGCAAACAGGGAGGCACTGAAAGCCTGCAGTGAGGAGGGCATGAGTCAGGCAGAACACACCACCACGTGGACACGCTAGTGCCAGCTAGTCTACTCGCTTATTTCCTTTCTATTTCCCACTTCCACAAAAACAGAGACCCATATAATAAATATTCATGGAGAAAATAAATCAGAGTGTACACGGCAAAGACGCAGACACTTCACATTTTCTTTTCTCACTAACATTTTACACTGCTCGGCAGTCAAGTTTGCCAATTGCAATTTTTTCCAGATACCAGGAACATCTCAACTAATGTCAAATTTGGACGAAAAAATGTAGGGAGAGATTCAAGTCATCTTTTGTTACCACTTAAAGCACCATTTAGTAAGAACATTATATTAACCATAAGGAAAGAAAAACAACTACGTACATTTTAAAGACATATTTACATCTATTGAAATAATGAATTTTAGAGATTTCCCTAAGACATCTATTATTCATTCACATATGGATTTTTGTTTTTCCAATAACAGCACTTAAAGGTTCCTTTAGGACTAACTTTTCTGTTGGTTTTTTTAAATGTGTAATGACATTTACACATTTTTAAATATATTCATAATTCAAAATTATTTTAAAAAATAATTTTGTCTTTGATATATTTTCCTGACATCAATTTTTATCATGAAAAATTTAAACAATTTAAGCAACTGAAAGCACCCTGTAACTCCTCTCCGTCCCCAAGAGAAGTGCTGGCAAACACTTCAACGCACGTTTGCGCCAATAATTTTTAGGCACACATACAGCAACAAAATGAATGGGAAACGTTTTCGTTTATAAACTGTTTAATTATAGATGGTGGATATTTTGATAAGACTCTAGGTCAATACATAACTTAATATTTTTAAATTTTATAATATCAAAAAGATTCTTGTGATTTTAAACATTAACTCACTTCAGAAAGGAGAATAACTCCTCATTTACGTCAGGGCTTAATGTAAAATCATTCCTAACACAAGTTCCCTGCTGGAGATCTATCTTTGACTGAAACTAAGGAATGGAGCAGATTTCAGATATACAGACATTAAGTCTTAAAAACACATTCAGATGAGTCAACTTGAAGGGTATCAGTGAAGGTACAAGTTGGAAAAAAGCTACCTAGAACAACAGTTTATCCATCTAGCATACGTACTATCAAGACTCCTCTGACTTAATATCTGCTCTGCATTTCAACTAAAAAAAATTAATAATCACCATCTAATTTTAAACATAGATTCAAAAGGATGATTTTCAATGTCATGAAAATTAAATACAATCCTAAGACCCATTTCTTAAGCACATTTTTGCTAAGTTACCGAAAGCTAAATAATCTGCTTCATGAAATAAAATAACATCTTCTTTTCTTAAGTAACTTGTAGAATGTCAAATAAACTGTTTTTATAGTATTTTACTTGGCAGTGTAGACATTATCTGAGTTAAAAACACTTAAATTACTTAGTAGGTTAAGTTTGCTTTTTTAAAAAATGGTTTCTTGGCAATACATAGGCAGGTTGAAAGCTGAACTAGCAAGGTTTATAAGAGTAATATACACTTAGTCGAATAAGAATAGCACTGCCTGAAGCTACAGCAAGATTAAAATTTACACAGATTAGTAACTGTCATGTTTCAGAGCTCACAATGTCTGCCAGTTAAAATTTGGGACACAACTTCCATCTGTATGGTCTATTTCCAGCATTCTGGGGATTTTTCCACTCTGGATAAAGAAAAATCTGGAATGAGCTATGTCAAAAAAGAAGACATGGGATTAGATGAAACTATCTTCATAAAAACAATTAACTTAAGTTATATTTATTGAAGAAACAAAACATATAGCTAGAGAAAACAATATAACCTGAGACATATTTAAATAACACTGGCGAAAACAATTAGTTGGAAAGTACAAAACTTGGTTATGAAACTTAGTGCTGAGACTTCTTGACTCTCTTTTCAAAGGGTTTTCTGGATGGCCAAAGGCCCATCTGTCAACCAGCAGCTACAATGCAGGAAAAACAAGTGTCAACTCATGCTCTCCAGGACGGTACCAAAGGGTCCCTCAGAGATTAAGAAATGAGTCAACAGAATGTCTGAATCCAGATAAACTTATGTGGGGACTCAGAACATATATTCAGCAGCATATACTGGAGTCTCTGCCTTCCTCGTTCTGAAAGCATCTGTATAACCTCATATAGAATTCACAGAAAAATAATCCTAACTCACCATACAATTAGATTATAATTTGCTCTCTACCCTGGCTATTCCGGACACTCATTTGTATTTAAAAAAAAAAAAAGATTAGGCTCTCTCTTTAGAGACTGAGACCCTAGCAGACCAGAGCATTTGTTTTCAGGTTTAGAGGAGATTAAGATAAGCCAGGAGTGAGAGGCATGCTCACATAAGCCAGCAATAAGGGACCTCCATGCCTGGAAGGTGGGAAACACACTATGCCAACCAACACATTAAAATATTTATGCAGTGCCAACAGGAAGCATAGTTCTCTATCATTCACGTCCTCGAGCTTAAGACAAAAACATATGGAGCCTAAAAAACTAAATAAAAAGACAGATTAACATGGATGGGAATTATTTTGAAGAGATTTTTTTGGTTGTAAATCTCAATCCTTGGCAGGCAGAGACTCCTGGTATTTCAGATCAATGGTGGTATTCTCAACCATGATGGAGCATCGACATGGCAGAGAAAAGGAAACGAACAGATCCGTAGGTCATGGCGAGGATACACACCTGGTCAGAACAGACAATCTCTCTGGGTGGAGGGCAGTGAGAGCCAAGTGGTACTGACATCACCAGCACATGGAGTTCAGATTTGATGGGAAGAGCAATAGAGCACAAAAGAGACATAATTCAGAGCATTGAGAAAGGATGCAGACAGTTGTATAGAGAGGGAAAACTAAAGAGAGCAAGAATAGCTATGAGGCTGTTTTGGCAACCCGAGCAGGAGAAAACAAAGCTTAGGAAATGGAAGCAACTCTCAGGCCAGGAAACTTTCTGAAGGCTTTGATGAAAGACAACACAGACAAGATAAAAGAATGACTTTAACAGAAAAATCAGAAAAACAAATAATTCTTTCATTTTTATTCAGATCATTCTGTATAGACCACAATGATGTTTTTCTATCACCTTCACGATCTCAAAATAATATATCTTACCTCAGTTGCCCAACATAAAAATGAGTTTACCATGGACACATAGCATAGTCCTCGCCCTTACCTATGAGGTCAGTTGGGCCAGTGCCCAGGTTTTCTCCTCTAATTGTGACCTTTGTCCATGGTATTCCTTCATTTGGAGAGATGCCTGTCACAAGAGGGGGCTGTCGTGATCGAGACATTGTGCTTTGTTAAGCAAACTGGAGATGTAGTTACAGAAGTAATCTGTTAAAAGAGAAAGGAAAAAAAAAGGATTAGTGCCAACTGAGATTAGCATTGACTAAAAATACAAGAATGCTAGACATTCAGTACCAAAATATAAAAAGTATTCTTAAACACACAGTTTTGATTTTTTTAGCTGTGATTTAGCCTCTCTGCCAACATCTACTGAACATTCAGTTTACTAAGGACACTTTAGTTAGTTCTGCAAGAGAAATATCATAACAGTAACAGAAAACTAAGCCCTTGGTTCTAGAACTTTCAATATCATGACAGATAGAGCCTAATGTCACCATTTAGCTCCATGCCTACGCCTGCCAAATCCCAAATACACACTAAAAACTCTTCTACTCTGAAAGTTGTTTAAGGAAGATATTCTGATTCATTATATTCATAAAAATTAAAGTGCATTTATATTCCTACCGATGTACTGAATTTCACTTCATTTTTGCATTATACTTAGTAATAAGAACTCTTTTTTACTGTGCTCAAATAAATATATTGACATTGTTACAAAACCTAGAATGCAGACAGACATACAGGCAGAAGTGTGAATTTGCTAACTGTTCTAAATATAGCAAAGTTGCTAAAAGTGCAGCTTCTAAGGTCAAATACACCTGAGTTCAAGTCCTGGTGTTCCAATTTACTCATGCTGTTCTAAACCTCTGTTTTCATATACGTAAAATGGAGCTAATAATAGAACCTTTCATAAGGTTACAATTAAGATTACGTAGGATAATCCTAGCGAAGCACACTACGCAGCATATAAAAGACACCAACAAATAATACAAAACCTCACCAACAAGCCCCTGTGGAACACCTCAAGTGCTCAAGGCTGCAGATGCCCCAGAAGATGAAGGTGAGGTTCAGAGCACAACAAGGAGAACTCGCTGATTATCTCTATCTTTCTATAGTGAGAAGTTAGATGCCCCGGCCCCTGCCTTCAGCCTGCAGTCAGGTAGGAGATCAGAGGCATAGTCTCTGAAGAAACCAAAGAGAAGAAACCAGGACTCAGGAACAACAGGCACAGCAGAGGGGACTGTCAACCTGCACAGCAAACAGTGGACTTCCTCAGGCCGGTCCCCTCCCTGCTCTCACACCATTGTCAGCAGGTTGTGCAGACTGTTCCTGCCCAATTCCACCCTGTCTGGATAACTAGAACCTCACTCTCTGGAGAAACTGAAGAGCCCCAGGAAAAAAAGAACCAAAGATCCTGACATGGAAGGTTCTGAAGCTGGTACCTGAAGGTTACTGTAAATATTCAGTAAGATTACCTTGTCACGAAAAAAAGTTAATCTTGTCAATTTGCTGTTTTTCTGTTTAACCTGAGGGGTAACTCAAAGGTCACAGGATTTATCAGCTTGTTTTACAGAAGAGAATGGCTTCAAGGATCACCACATAACCAGCCCCCAGCTGCCACTGACCCCAGAAGTCAGACTGCCCAAGGGCTTATCTGGAGTGAAAGAAACACAGATTACCCCTTTGTTTCTCTAAAAGTCCTCCTGCCAAGCCCCTTAGCTCTACAAAACCCCCTCCTTTCTTCTCTTGTTAAGATGTATCTGAAAGAACCCAGGCTCCCACCTTCTCATTTTGGCCAATTCGAACAAATCTTTCTCTACCTCCAAGCACCGATGTCTCATTGTTTGGCTTACTGCACGTCAGACACAGGAACTTGCGATTAAGAGGTCTGGTATCAATCCTCCTGTAAGTGAGCATAAGTGAGGCCATCTTGTTATGCTAAATGGCCCCAGCCCCTCCTTTGTGTGACTACTTGTTGCTCTGCACGTACTCTAAAAAATTTACATGCTGTCCTGATTTATGGCCTCTGCTCACATATGTACTCCCCAATAGCTTGATAAATTGAAACTTTGTTCTATGAGTTTCTTTCCAGGAATAGGCTGACCACAGGCAGGAAACATACCTACAAGGTATCCATCATAGTTGATGGAAGAATGAAACAATGTGATGCCTGGAGCCCATCATGACTAGAGACCAACATCCCTGGACCCCTCCTCACTACCCATTTTCCCTATATAACTGCCTCAAGATTCTGTAATCCTGGAAGATGAGTTTTTGAGACATTAGTCACCCATCTTCCGATTAGCTGGCTAATCTAATTAAACTTCCTGTCTCGATCTCTACCTCTGTTGTGATTAACTGGCTCAGATCACAGTGAGCAGAGCAGCCCATTGCTTGGTATCACTCCCCAAAAAAGGAAGAGCAACTTGCAGTCACATCACTTAACAGAGAAGCCACTTACAAACTCTGCCCATACACAGACTAATCAGCTATTCACAGCCTCACTCTAAAAAACACGACGACAGCTAGAGGCTATAAGATGGTCAAGGAAAATATGTGAGAAAGAGATAGAAGTCAGATAAACTAAAAGATCCAGAAAAAATAGATAATGCAGGTGATATGGGCTGAACTGTGTGCCCTCAAACAAGTCACGTTGCAGTCCTAACCCCCGGAACCTCAGCATGTATTGAGAGATCAGGCCTTTAAAGAGGTGATTAAGGTAAAATGAGGTCATATGGGTGCCCTCGTCCAACATGACTGGCGTTGCTGTAAGAAGAGATCAGGACCCAGACACACAGAGGGACAACCACATGAGCACACAGGGAGGAGACGGCCATCTGCAAGCCCAGGAAAGAGGCCTCAGAAGGAAGCAACCCCACCAACACCTTGATCTTCAACTTCCAGCCCCCAGAATCATGAGAAAATACATTTCTGTTGTTTCAGCCACCCAGTCTATCAGACTTTGTTATGTGAGCCCTAGCAAACTAACACAGCAGTTAACAAAAGAAAAAAAAAACTCCAAAAGTATTGCAGACTTTGATCCCAAATCAATATCTGCAGAGGGAGAAAATTTTTATCCCTAAAAGAACAGGATGCCATGAAAAGGAATCAATCCAAGAATAAGAGCTCTTGAAACTTTCAAAAGAAGCAAGATTTGTATCACCCTATTAATGCAGGAATGACTAGTGGTTTAACTGAAGGTAGGAATAAAGTTGCACATAGGCAGCTGTGTTTGGGGAGTGAGGAAAGAGAATAAAGAGGGAGAAGGAGTTAAAATTTTTTGCCTAAAATTACTATCAACATAATGGCAGATTAGACACAGAATCTGGAAATGTGGAGGTGGATGCCAGAAGAGAGAGCTAAACGAGTTTGGGGTGTGTTGCATAAAAAAGAATATGACTGACCTTGGTCCCTGGTTTCTGGGAGGGAGACTCAAAATCCAAGAAGTTCTTGTTCTTCATGAGCCCTTCAGACCATACCTGAGTCTACGCTAACAAAACAACTCAAAATCAGGCCAAACCAGAAGGAGCAGCCCTGTGACTAGAGGGCTGGGGTTTTCCGCCATGTGCTATCAGGCTGCCTCCTACGGAAAAAAGGAGCAGGCTGGAGAGGGAGGTCAATCACATGGCCCAGGATGCAATCAATCACACTACGTCACACATTTAATACAATTAAAACAGCAGGACAATGACAATAGAAAACAAAGGACTGGAAAGATCTTACCCTTCATCCAATAAACCAAATGAGACAACTCAAGGTTCCTGAGCGTCTCTCCTTCCCTATCACACCTCCTGAACCAAACAGTCAGCCTCTTTCTGCCAGAATCCAAAGTCAACTATTCCTCTCAATTCTAGAGTAGCTCTCCCAGCTAAGACCTTCATCTCCTCTCCCTGGATGTTGAAACAGATTCCTAACTGGTTTCTTTGCCCCTATTACCTCTCCACTGCAATCCACCCTCAGCAAACACCAGAGTTAATTCTCCAAAATACAGATCTAATGCCTATCATGCCTGATTTAAAAAAAAAAATCTTCCATGACACCCCACTGCTCCAGTGGTCTCTAGTGCCCACATCCTTAGCATTTTATTAAAACCTGTCACAGCTACCCTTCTACATTTCTTACTTCACCCTCAGTCATTTCCCTCATTTATGAGACACTAACCACCTAAGCCCGTTCACCTGTTATGAACTGCCAAGTACTTTTATGCCTTCATGATTTCATTTGTCTTTTTTTCAATTAAACAGAAAGTCTTCCAAGTTTGTTAATCCTTACCAGACTTTCAAGGTCAAGCTTAAACGTCACTTTCTCTAAGAAAGTCTCCCTGACCACCCCCTACAATGTTTTTGCCACATAATTCTAATATTCATTGTGTTAAATCTTAGATATTACGTTTGCGTCTCCTTGTGAAGACACATGATGTTTAATCAACTCTCTATCCCCAATGCCTGTCATACATTACTCGACAGAAAATAAACACGCCGTACGACTGCTGAAAGCGGCTCAGTGAACGTCCTCTGAATGCCTCACAGTCTCAGCGGGACACTGGACTTACAAGAGGACAAAGAGAAGAACTGCGAGGGGGAGAAGACAGGGATGGGGGGAGGCATTAGGCTACACACGCAACGACAAAACAAACGTGAAAAGACACTGTACACCACAGCATCAAAATAATAAAATAGGAATAAAGTTTCAGAAGAAGTGCAAAACTTGTACTTCAAAAACTCAAAAATGCTGTTGGAAGAAATTAAAGAAGACCTGAATAAACGGAAAGACATGGATAGGAAGACTCCATGTTGTTAAGATGGCAACACTCCCCAAGTTGATCTGTAAATAAAACGCAATGCCTCTCAAATCCCCAGCTGGCTTTTTTAAAGAAACTGACAAGCTGGTCATAAAATCCTACGGAAATAGAAAGGACCCTGAATAGCCAGAACAATCTTGAAAAAGAGGAACAAAGTTGGAGGACTCAATTCCTAATTTCAAAACTTACTATAAAGCTACAGCAATCAGTGCAGTGCCAGCATGAGGAGAAAGATACAGATCAATGGAATAGAATTCAAAGTCCAGAGAGAAAACCGTTACATTTATGGTCAATTGATTTTTGAACAATAGAGAAAAAAATAATCGTTTTAACAAATGGTGCTGGGACAACTTGATAACCACATGCAAGAGACCAGAGTTGGATCCCTTCCTTTATCACACACAAA